AAACAGCCGGCCTCTTCCCAGCTCCTTGCGAAGTGCACTCAACACGCTGACATGGAGGGCTGTGTCCGCTGATTGCCTTGCGCCTGCGCTTCTCGCGGCGCGATGAAATTTTCTTGTGTATTACCTGCAGATGACAGCCAGCAGGAACGACAATCACTATGCTGATGTCTGCTGCTGGTGGTCAGATCGCCTCGATTTCCCGCTCCAGCACATCGCGGAAGAATCGAACCTTGCTCGACAAGCGGCATGTCAGTGACTACCACACGATGAAATGCCATAGAGCAACATCTTAACAGCATGCAGGGCTGAGCTTCTCACATCCGCCTCCTCCGAACACCGACCAACAAAGTGAAGTTGCCTGTGCTTCAAGTACCAGCTATTGACCCGTGCGTTCACCTGCACTCCCTCTCGCCATCCCCTACCCTAGGATGGCAGCAAACGGGTGTGCATGATGAGACCTGCCGGAAGCTTGTGGAGCTGTGCGGTCCTTCCACACAAGGAGGAATTGTCGAGCGTCTGCAGCCACTCAGCACATCTAAAGCTCCTTGAGCTGAAGGCTGTCGCCCAGGATCCAAAGACCCTGCACGATTCCAAGCTCGAGCTCTGGCTTGGTCGATGTCTGTCGCTCCCAGCGCCTTCAGCCTGGCTTCGGCCTTCATCTTCTCCAGTCCAGATCCGTCAGCCCCGACCTCTCTACTGGCAGATGCAGCCTACGGACACGGAACTGCTTCTCGCTCTCGCCTTATCATCCTTGACCCTCTTCTGGTTCTGCAGGAAGCTTCTCAAATAGAGCGACATGCTGAGCTTCAAGCCAATTCTGACACGAGGTTGAACCTGCGTGCTGCCAAACGAAGCAACTTGGCAGACAAGCAGCCATCGCTGTGACCGGCTTAGGATGTGACGGTCAGGCTGCACAATCCGCTGTCAAGGCCCCGCCTGTAGCAGTTGTTCTTGCGCTGCAAGACACGTTCCGACCTGGCGCCACTTAAACGGCCACAGAAGACAACTGCTGTTAATAGCAAACATGCATGGAGGTCTCGGACCATGTGCCTGCAAGATCCGTAGGATCTGCCTGGCAAGTCTTCATTTTTGTTCGTTCAGCTCGAAAGGCAACGCACGCCAAAACATCGACGTTGGCAAATGCAGATTCTAGCATTTGGGCTTGCGGGGAAAAGTGGGAACAGCCTGTGCAATAAAGGAGCAAGCTGTCATGCGTAAGTGGGGCGGAGCTTGCTTGCAGGAGCCGAATACAATCGAATAGAAGCCCTCACGGCAAGTAAAGCCGGTATTCAGTGGCTCGTTACCAGCCACATCCCGGTGCCATCATGGAATGACTGCAAAAGAACTGACACAGCAACTGAAGTAACTGTGGTCATGCATCATGCAGCAAACATGCAGCGTCCACATCCGCAATATCACATGCCGAAAAACCAAACGGGTTGGCAAGCGTGGGACATTCCTAGACAGGACCTCCCTCGAAGCGTGGAGCCGCGATACAATGTCGTACTAGGGAATCTTTTCGTATGTTGTGCACAGTGCCCGCCTCCTCGGGGTCCGCAGGTGTCAGCGCTTCGATGCACCGGAGGGCATCACGATGGTGCTTGAATCTTACATACCTGTGGAAACGCCGTTGCAATAGCTTGCGTCATGATGAGTTGTGTCGTGACTTCTTCAACTAGCTGGCAACAGGCCAATAAAAGCTGTTCGCACGGTTGATTGGTTCATCTACGTCCAAAGTGCCATGTCAATTTCACCATCCGGAGACCATGGGCGCACCCCTCGTTTAAGGGTTCCACAGCGAACGGATCGGAGATGAGATGCAAAACATCCACTTCGCCGAAGCCCTGTCGAAAGAAGCGGGCTGACGAATGCAAACGATTCTGCGCGACTGCCCAAAAACCTTACTTGTGCCTCGAAGTATTCTTGCAGCTGCTGTCTGGTCATATCATGCCTGCGGATCTGATGCCGCGAAACAACAAGAAACTGGCGCACGCACTGCTAACAAAACAGACAAAAGTTTCAAATCCAGGTTGACAATTAAGGCTCTTCGTGGGCAACGAAACATTTAGAAATCGAAACCAATTGATACCGGACCGAACGTTCAGTCCGAACGAACACCGCGACCAGACTCAGCGTTGTCTGCTTCGAATTTGCTAGCGTGCACAACATGTCCGACTACATGTCGCAAACTGCGGACTCCTGGACGGCTGCCATTGTGCATTCGTACATCCACTGCTGCTTGCCTCTGGAGTGTCGAGTTAAGACAATGTTCACACGGCCTTTGAAAGCTTTGCTGTCTTTTTCGTTTGGTGGCGAAGGTCCCGAAGTTGGCACAGGTTCCTGTGACTAGCCCGAAACCTACAGCCGCGGCACCGGAGACACGGCAGCGGCGCCGGTTCGCCGGAAGAGCAATCGGGATACAAGCAGGAACAACCGTGGGAAACCATCGTTAATCTATATGTTGCCATAGCAGAAACCCAGGCCCCAGGATCTACCCAAAGGTAGGTAAGGATTACATAAACACCGGTACAAGTAATGGGACAGGAAACCAGACAAATTCTTACTACTGTGAAAACGATGGCGTTCCAGCACTGACCGGCAAGGCACGACGACGGCCTGCTGCCATGCGATCTGGTGGTGTAAATAAAGAGCGATGTTAGAGGGCTTGCAACAAGGCGTACACTCGGCTCCAGAGGTTGCTGTCCGAACGGTCAACCAAGCACGGTCCACCAGACGCCCGTCCTGGATAGCTCCACGCACTGATTGCAGACCCACTCCAGAACGTTAGTTAACTACCCCACTCATCGCAAAGATCCGGGAGTACGAAGTCCACATACAAAACGGAGGTGTCTCGTAACAAATCAGCAGCCAGAGCCCTTGGAGACTGAAGGTGCCAATGGGCGAATGAATGACAAAACTCCACTTCGGCGGGCTCACCGAATGCCACATGTGCAAGACCTGGAACTTCCGCAACATGAGATGCCCGAACACAAGCGCTTGTGCACTATAGCGGAGAACTCGACCCACACGGGCTGCAGAAGGCAGGATGCGGCGGGCACTGAGGGCGGCTCGCGCAGGCGTGTCCCCCACGGGAGCAGCTGGCATCCACAAGGGTCTCCGGACGCATCCTCATCAAATCCATGCGCCGAGTTGCAGCTGAAGCAGAACGGCACCCTGCTTTTGCTCTTGGCCGAGACACCCTGCATAAACTTCGGCATGCTCACTCTTACGCTTCTTTCCACCAGGCACCTCGGCAAACTCAGCCTCGCCCTCATCCGCTTGGCGCTTCTTGGGTTCTTTGCGGGGCTTCGTCACGCTGTATATAGACAGCAGGTATAGAATGGGAAACAGAAAACACAGAGCCAGCATTGTAGTTTGGAGCGCCAAGTCGCCGGGTCAAATCATTCTGACCGGTCTCATCTTGCTGGATGTTGGACATGAAAGTGTCCGCAACAGGCTTCCGCAACGGCTGACCCGTGCGGAGTCCCTGAATGGATGGCGGCTCAAAATCAGCAGGGGCAACGTGGGTCGGAACGCGGCTACCGTAGTCATGCACTTTGGACATGCCGTGGCAAAGGAGTTCTGAACCAGATACACCCCGCAGCATAGCAACTCGAAACCTTGATGATGTGTGTCCGATCGCACGGGTGCGAACAAACCCTCACTCATGTGGGCTTCGTGCAGCGATGGATGCTGCCCACTCGTCATCGGAGAGGGGCATGAAAACAGAATTGGGCCATTTTATGAAAAGGAAGCGGATCAAGCCAATGATTTGCTTACGGCATCGCAACCTGCGTCACTGACCCCGTGATCATCACTCGCGCTGGCCACTGCTGTCACCTGCGACAGAACAAACCACATGATGAACTTCGCGACACCAGCATGCCAGGAATTGCACAGTAGCCGGCGGCGACCCTCAGCTGCATGTTCTGAGTGGCCCCTGACTTTTTTCTGATTTTTTCATGATTTTCATAGTGCAGCGACAGGGTGCATGATCCCTAGACGCCACGAAGGATGAAGAGTCGTAGTAGGCCCTGATGCCTGCGAGGGCGTTCACGGCTGCACTTTCCTAGTCTGCAGCTGCCGGGCGCATAGAGGCGCAAGCCTCCCGTGCGCCTCGCCTCCGGAAAACCTCTCCCCCTCGTTTCGCCCCCCACATGGGCGGCCCATGGCTGGGTTTGAAAACCTAGCCTCACAAGCTGTTCTTGAGGCCCGGCCTTTTACCCCGGGCTATCTCATAGCCGCGGCACATGCGTGTGAGCCTTCTCCTATCCTGTCGCCGCACAACCGACAAGCACAGCAAGTGCACTAGCCCTTTACCAAGACAACAGCACACAAACGCTCTCCCTTGCGTATGCCGACATGTAGCCACAAGACACGCAACGCACTAGCCCTTTACTGCAAGCGAAGAACGTGACTATCTCCCTTCCTCTCTCTTCCCTCCCCTCCCCTCGCCCACCAGAGCAAGACAGGAAGTGAGGGAGATGGAGTAGCCCGACCCCGAGGTATCCCCAGCTTCCCTGGCCGGCTCGATATCCTCGCCGGGTGCCCCGGACGGGCCATTGCCGGTAGCCATGTTCCCTCGCCCCCGACTCCTCCGCATTTCCCACCTGGGCCCTGAACCCCTCTAGCCTTCCTGTTGAAAGACGCTAGCCTCCGGGGATTGATTGGCCCATTCGACGAAACTTAAAGTCCTCTTGGGATCAGGCTTGCTGTCGCACTGCTCCGAATGTGGTGGGCTGGCGAGCTGCAAATGGCACACGCATGCTTGCAAGCCCAGCACTCACCGACACGGTGCTTTCACCGCCAGCACCGCCTTCGCGCTTCCAGGGGGCAGTAGACCGCTTGGGGTCAGGACGCCGCCACGCGGCCTTCGGTACCTTGGGACGCTCAACTAATAACAATCGTAGCATATCCCGCTCGACCACCAAATGATGGAGCGCGTTGTCCAACTTGTTTCCCCTGACGACGAGCTGGAACACCTCGCTCATGACTGCGTGGTCGTATTCTTGCGATTCTTGTGGCCACGAGTTCGTTAACCTCGAACACCTGCTCCTCACTTAGCACGTGCTTCCAGGGAAGCCACTCACACTGCTTGCCCACACACTGCTGGTGTACCAGCTGTAGGAGGCCCAGCGATGGCAAGGTTTCCGGCGTGACCACCGCGGATGGGTAGTCCTGCTCAATCTGACGGCGCCAAGCATCTCGGTCACCTTAGGCGTTGAGCCAGCAACGGGCAGGAGCGCCAGGCGATTCTGCAAAACAGACAGAAACAAGCGCAACTTGGCCGCAAGTGGGCATGTGCTCCAGTCGCTGGCGTCGATCGCATTGGCTTCGCCGCCAAGCTTCTCACGAGATTTACTCAGCCAGGTTTCAAAGGCGCATTTGACAACAAAAGTTATGCGGAAGAGGTCCTGCGAGTCGTAGCCCCAATGCAATTATAGCGTCCGGCCTTTTGGGGCAGCCCTGCCGACACCATGCTCTCGCGCCATGAAGAGGCTGGCCTTCTGAAAAGGAAGGCCACGGACAAGCAAGATCGAAGAAGCGAGACAATCACCCACGGGGTCAGATCCGACGGCACGCTAGGACCATGCCCACAAGTGACATCAGTCGCGATGCAGCAATCATGCATACAAGCGACAATCACCAGCGCAAGGAAACGACAAAGAGCATCAGCCCTGCACCAACCAGGACCCATGCACTGGGACGGGGACACCTGACACAAAAGTGGGCATCAGCCCAAACACAGCGTCATACCGGACGCACAAAGTTGCTCATGAGAACACAACACCTCGCACAGCGCCACTTTGGAGCGAACTGCTTATTATCCAAAGCAACCCGCATGCCGGCAAACGCTGTAGCCTTTGAGTAATGGGTTGGAAGTGCCATCTCGTACATCGATTGGCTCCGGGCCTGAGGGCGGCAAACGCGCCCCCAGCGCCTACCCTCCCACAGCACGGCGCAATCTGGCGGCACAGTCGAATCCAGGCAGACCGCCTTGTGATACCACTCTGAAGCAATTGACAAAGCCAGGGGCCTGCGAATGATTCCAACTCAGCATATTACTCCTCGCTATCCAGCTCGGCCAGATCGTCGCTGGCACAGTTACTGGCATCGCCCACAACGCCGAAGTCTTCAAATACTAAGTTGTCATCGCTGTCCTCTTCAGTGGGGGGCATTTGCAATCCCGCATCGGAACAATGGGGTTGCGGTCCGGGCTGAGAGCCAAGGGTACCCAGCCCTTGGAAATCGCCGGAAAAAATCCTGCCATGCCAACGGTGACAACACATGGTCACGTCTGCATGTCTCGACCGATTTGGCGACGGTGCTGGCGCGATGGTGCCCCTGCGCGCCTGCGCGGCGTCGATGCCAAGTTGGCTAGCCCAGCAAGGTGATGTAACTTTGAGCGAGTGAAGGGTATAGCGCCTCGCCGTCTCTGCACCCAGGTCCGTGCAACACACCAAACAACGTCTGAATGTGGCCACCGCTGCATAGCCCGCAGGCTTCGACAGGTGACGTAGCAGATGTAGAAAATAATCGTTCTTTACATCATCCTTGCGCAGACGAGCGATCTCCTGCGCCAGCGAGCGGCCCCGCCCCATGGCATGCCGGTGACACTCGTTTTGGTTCACCAACTCCAGCCTCGGATGCTTCCGCAGTCCAAGATCTCTGAGTCGAGGTCTAGGCGCTGTGGCCAACCATGCTGCTATGGGGGCAGAGCACAGGATCTTCAGAAAGGGACTCCAGCCCTAACCTGCACGCAACGAACCGCAAAGCCTGAACAACACCTTGAGATCCACCACAGCAATCTTCGCCACGACCCAGCTTCGCTCCCGTGGCTAAGACGTCCAAGAAGTCTAAGAGTGACGCCAAATTGACAGATGCCAGCGCCAAATGTGCTCCCTGACAAAAAACCCAACCAAAATCTCCAGCCTGGCAAATGTTTACGCAGTGTGCCTGCAGAACTGTCGGAAAACAAGAAGAGCAACTGGTCACGGCTACGATCACTTAGCTCGCACAGCACTGAACTTTCTTCCGCCACACACACCACGCAGGGTCAACCAAAACGCCCGCCCACTTCAAATGCGCATCATCTTCAAGCACACGCAGCGAGGAACCACTGCTGCCTGACCCGGGAACAAGCATGGCGTGGCCAGGATGGAGAACGTGGCAAGCAAAAACGAAGAGAGCAGAGCGCAAAATCAGCTGCTTGTGACCTGAACGTGCGGATGCACCTCAACACAGAAGAAACCCGGCAAACCGAGCTGCAAGCACAGGACATGCAACTCTGCAGTGACCAACGAGGGTTACGTGTGTGCCTTGGCCTAGCCCACCAAGCCCCAAGGCAAACACCCCAGGCATTGTGAGGAAACTCTGGAGCTTGTAGTAAGTTTCTGGCAGTGGCAGATTCCGGACCTCGTGCAAGTTGCCGCGAAAAGAAACCAAAATGTCGTTGCTTAGCCAGCGGCATACAGCTCTCGATCTTCGGGTCCAGGTGCTACCTCTCCACCAGAGTGAAAGTCCGGTGCTTTCGTCAGACGTTAGCAGAGCTCTGTCGTCCTCTGAGGGTCTTCGGCTCAACGCCAACTGGTCAACGAAAATGCTGACCTGGAAGCTGCCATCCTGCAAGCAGCTGCTTGTGGCCGCATGAGCTTTTTGAGAGCATCTGCAACTGTTGCCGAGACCACTGCTCGGCTGATACAGGCCCGACGCGCATGCATGCAAGCCCAGAGGCTTCTAGCATCGCTGTGACAGAACACTGCTTCGGCGTCCAGAGCTACACATGGCAACATCTAGAATCTAGGTGCACGGCCGACCAGGAGCTGCTGTGCCAGCGGTGGCACGCCACAATGCACTCCTGGCGTTGACATGAGCTATGCCCTGCTTCACTGCAATCATGTCACGCAGTGAGCGCCTCAACCAGGTCCCCGTCGCCAACCTTTGTTTGGTGCAAGTTTGTAACGGCCTGGCTCAGGGAATCAGCACAAACATGTGCAGAGGCAGGCCCAGCCTTGTCCATGGCTTGGTTGTTTCGGAGCTTCACATATGCAAGTCGCCCTGAGGATCGCACCTCCAAGCAAGAGTATGCATGCTCGTGAGGGGGAGCTCGTAAGCCTAGACTATCGATCGAAAAATTCTAGATAACTGCACAAAGTAAAACGCCAACTGCACAACAAACACACACACACACACGAGATAGGAGCAAAAACAAAACAAAAACAGGGCAACCGCTCAGGCCAACTCTGTCTCTGTCACAAATGAGTTTTGTGTCTTAACGCATGTTAGTTCCAATTTCTTGCCTCATCCATATACACGCAAACATATCTTTGTATAATTAAATGCAGGTATAGGCCATATTATTATAGAAGTAGGCTAAGAATAAATCCCAATGCTGGGGGCCGAAGAGTGAATTGAGCGAAGCGAAATTCACGATGGTGCTTTTTGTGTTGATTTCTTAGTAAATAACGCAAGTAGTCCTCAGCTGGCAGCTGACCTCCACAAAGGGGTATATATATATATGTATATGTGTATGTATATGTATATATATATATGTGTATATATATATGTATATATATATATGTTTATATATATGTTTATATATATATATATGTATTTATATGCGCTATGAAAATAACCGTACATAGCTATCTGCGTACATTGAATGTTTTCATGTATAAATGGTAGCCCCCGCCAAAGGCCCCGCAAATACCATTGAATTCCGTGCTCGTTAGTTATTGTTGCCTGCAGTGTATATGCGTCATGCTGCAATGCAAAAAAAGGCAGGTTCCCGTTTCGCAGACGGGTATCTTGCTGTTTGTCCACCTCCTGCTATCTAACATTGGGGTGGTACTTACGATGCATATGTCACCAGAGTTAATACCCAGTTAATTTGGGATTGGTATTCGTTGAACATTTCACAGTGTTTTGCCTCGTATTTGCGGATTGCTCATCGGGTACTTATGTCATGCATGTATCCAAGAGTTTCCCGTAACTTCTATCCAATTTTATAGTAGGGATAAACATTCAGCTAATATCGGATCAGAACTTGCTGCATGCTCGTACCGATTCGCCTCAAATTTAAGTCTGCTCAATTAACAAGCGAGAGCATATTCGTAATGAATTCATTTGTACTTGAATAGCTCGTCGTTGCAGCAATGCGAGATTAAACCCATACAGAAGTCAAGTCCTAATTCATTCTTGGATAGGAACTACCGCTTATTGCGTTCCTGAAGCGACAAAAGCAATACGAACCTGCGGACCAGCAAATCAAAAAATGCTATGCCAATAAATGGCTTCAACACTAATGACTCGTGTCCGACTATGGTTCACATACTAGTGAAACGATCACAAGACACACGTTAGGCCAAACCTCAACCAAATCCTGATCAATTAAGCTGAAGTGTTCAACTAAATAAACACTTGTCCACGATCAGCTGTATAGCTTCAGCATGTCGGCATTTTCACTTGATCGAATATGAATGGGCCACCATTTGTTGCCAGGAAGATCTCAAGTTCATAATAATGAGCTGTTGATCAAGTTGTGTGTTAACGTCACATGTTAGATGAGCAAAAATTTGGAGAGCTTCTGGTTTGTGTTGGAATGGGAAGTAGACTTAGTTATATGTCAACGCTGAACATAAATATTGAATGCATGTGTATATGTATAAGGCTTAGCTATGAAGTCATCTGTAGTCGGAAAACACATATAAATGGTATGTGCTAAGCATATGTAAGCGCAACGTAGATTTCCAGTTAACGGCAAACCTATACAAAAAGATGCAAAAGGAAGCGCGCATTAGTGAAACACCACAACTGTAAGCGAACAAAGATGCAGGTAGATGCTCAACACGTAACATTGACAAGTATTATTCGAAGAGCATTGAAATTTGACTTTGCTCTGAATGGGCTATGAAGCTTACACCCCGTGATGATTTAGATTCATAAACAACCGATGTTGGATAAGCTGTCTGTGACCAGGGAGGCGAATACTGATCTACTTTTCCTGTTCGTTAACCCAGTAACCAGACATATTTGTGCGATTCAATCCTGAACATCAGGCAGATATCGAACACATTATAGATAATGTGTTACTGTATCAGCTATTAAAATCTAGACATTGGAAAACCGGCTACATGATGCTTATATAATAGATATATTAACAGCTAAGCATGTCTTCGAACTAATTTATCTTGGCCAAAGCAGCAGGAAAGTCCAATTTCAAAAACAACATCAACACAAGAAATTTGCAGGCGTCTTGAGAGCGATCCCTGAAAACATCAAGGCAGAACAACACTGCTAGGTCTTGTTACATCAGATTAAGACAAGATGATTGTTGCAATATTAACACCACTTACTCATACACACTTCAACACATCAAGGCAGAATATCAGTGCCATGTACTGAATACAACCTTCTTATTGGTTCCTATTCATTTATCGTTCAATCCACCGGACAGAAAAATAGTGCGAAGTACCTACCCGTGAGCCGTAGCTGCAGCAGCAGCATGGGCCTCACCCGACACGGTCGTTGCAATGGTGTCCTTTTCCTCGCGAGCACTGCTGCAAAATCAAAGGGACTGGAAAGCACTGGCTCTGTTTTCGCCCATCTACAGCAGGAAGCATCTCGCAAGGCAGGGCTGTCGTGTATGTCTGCATTGGTCTTGCTGCTCAAAACCTTGGTAGTTAGGACATGGGGAGGACCGTTAAGCCTTTTAAGCCGCGGTGAAGGTTTACCGGACTGGCCTCAACCACAGTACGGAACCGCTTCCGAAGCGTAGAGAAACAGAGACGGAAGGGTTGTGGCAGGTGGGTTGCAGAAGGCCAACTTGGGTACCAGGGAAGAATCACACCGTGTTGTAAGTTAATGAACAGGATATTATCATTATTTGGGCACTCGAAGTTAGACGTCATCCTCGTCTTCGATGAAGACGGACGAAAGTCCACCAAAAGGTGCAAACACGAACCTGCACAGGCACAAACTCACTGCACCTGCAGCCGATTGAGCGCTGCCGATTCCGCTTTTGCCAACTGCGCGGTAGCAGAACCACGTTTTTGCAAGTGATTCGACAGCACGGCGCCAAGTCTTTGTACAGCCATGTGCATTGCGACATGCTCACGGAATCGACGCATTCACGAGGCTATTGGCCAAGTTTGGGTTTAGCGAACCTAAGCAACTGACCGCACCAAGCGACGACTGCCATTGCTTCGACTCCAGTATTGTCGCTTGAGGCCGGCACCGTCGCAGTCGCTGCAATGTGCAGTCCTCACAAGCAAGCTGCAGCTAGCATCTTATCAAGCACCACATGTTGGTGACGATTTTCAGCGCAGGGCGATCCCATTCGACCTGTTCAAAAGCTCAAGCCAAGTCTCCGTGGCATCTTTGATGCTAGACGCTCCAAGCCACCATAACCCCGCGGCCTTGCATCAGAGCAGGACATCAGAAGACTTACAACGGATTGACCATGCAATTGTCCATTCTGATGTCCGTGTGCATCACCCCCAGGGAGAGCAAGAGGAGTACAGATGCCTGGCCCGACATTACGATTCCCCATTCATTCTTGCAGCTGCACGTGCGTGTGTGGGTTTCGCATACCACTGCAATTTGCCCGAGATCTGGCACCCATCGGTTTGTGGAACTCGTCTCCACCACTGCAAGAGGTCCATCCTCAAGAATGCAGGCTCCCGCCTCCTAATCGTTCGGACTTGCTGTAATCATGGCGGAACGCTCGGTATACAATTCTATGCACATCTCTTGCCGGTAATGGAACCTAACAGGACCCGCGCAGTGACACCCAAAGCGCTTTGAAGGCTTGCGACGGCCTGCGCATGTCAATTGCATAGCATCGATCTTGCATTCAGATCGGGTGCAACCGTTCAACTCGCAAAGCCCGGTGCTGAGCCTCTGAAATTACACGTCCGGCCTGCACATGTCCACAGTTCGAGCAGCGATGCTGTCAAATCAAAGATTACAGCGGCGGTCCTGTCGTTACCTGAATGGTGCAGTTCATGCACGCATGCATCAGGCCGTCAGGGCGCAAACACACAAAGAGCTAACCCTCCCTGTGGCACGAGGATGTCTGCGTGCATATATGGGAGTTGAAGGAACTGCGAAATGTGTTCAAAATCCAAGCCTACATGCCTGAAAAGATCACATGGAAGCTTGGCCCGAGGCCTGGCTAGCACTGGCAACTCGCAACAATCCGAACAATGGAAAGCTCGCGCATTCCTGTGACTTGGAAGCAGCTTGCTTCGTTCCATCGCGAAGTTTTTGATGGTTTGGGCGGGCGCGGAAGTAAAGAGAGGGAATAAACACCAAAAAGAGGAAGACCATGCATGTGCACTGACCTGTCAGAGTAAAGGCATCATCCAAATGTCTTGTGAGCGAGCTATCCTGCGCCCTGGACCGAGATTCAACATACATGCTTGCGATTTGGAGTGTCCAGTTACCAGGACCCTGTGACCTTGCAACGTGCGACGAACGGCCAGTCAGAATAGCAACCGTCGATACGAATACTGGCCCTAAGCCAATCCTGGCTTGCTTCTACAAGCTCGACGGATCTCGCGAATTGTTGCGCTGTGAGTACACTCTTGAGCACCACCCATCCCGGAAACCGTTCGTTCGCCCTCTTGCCTGTCGCTGTTCGGAATTGCTCGGGAGGAAGTGCATAAGATCCTGTACAAGCTCTTGTTTGGAGACTCCAGGCGTTCACACCAGCTCGAGCAAGCTCCGATGCGCAACTGTCTGCATCGCCAAACATTGATTGGTCTGCGTTTGGGACTCCTCCTCTCAGACGATGCTCAACATGCTGTCTCGCTTGCAGTTCTCGAGGGGTGACGGGTGGTAGTCGACCAACGATATGTTCCGCTGACACGAAACCAAGGATGGCGGTGTTGCACCAGAAAAGCACAGTTGGTCTTCTGTTCCCCTGCCTTCAATGACGTTCTGCATGCGCACTGTCTGCTTTGTGGATGCCCCCTCTTACAAACTGCTGACACCAAAGCCCATCTAATTTCCGGGGAGCACCTCGCGTGCACTGTGCATTTTGTTTGCCTTGTTTCCTTGTCTGTCTCTGCTGGCAGTCAGGACTGGATTGCTCGCAAGCAGGACTCAACCAGCCTGCGTGGAGAGTGGAGAAGGCATCTGTGGACCGACCTGCTTGAGAGCGAATGAGTCTGGTTGGACATGTCATGCACAGCAGGTCACAGCCAACCTCTCGTAGAGCAACCCGCGTCTCGTAGGCCTCTGCGCTAGTGTCAGGCTGGACGCGTCTCAGGCGGTGCATGGGCTCAGCTCAGAGTTTGACCCAGAGCCAGCTATGGATGTGGTAGAATAGCTGCTTGGGAGCAACCTTTCGTCTTACCACTCTTATCAGGCAAGTGCAAAGGCGATGCGGAGCTATAGTTTCGTGCCGAGGGTCCCCAGCAAGCCCAACAGCCTGGGTGACCGTTCAAGCTTCATGGACGTTTGTGCCAATGCAAGTCTTTCTTGACCGACCAGTCATACGTAAGGAAAGACTGAAAGGACGCGGCTGCACAGTACCATTGTAACAACTGCCGGCTGCGAGGGAATTGGTCCTATGTGCTGCTGAATTGCACGCATTGTGCTCTGCGGAAAATCTCGTGAAAACCACGGGTCCTTGTGCAAGACGCCAGATGACGAAAGCACTTCAACCGCAAGAAGCATCCCCAACAGTCCATCCAGCCTGCTACAGTCTGCTACGGTCTTCTGAGTCTGACTGCATGCACAATACAGATTTGGATTTACAGGCATGTTTCCACAGTGTGCCTGCTGTCCAAAGGCAGTGTTTGGTAGTACTGCCACAAGTCTTCCCGGCTCTCACTGAGAAACGGCGTTCGCTCAATCCTCAACGCACATCGACTTCTTCCACGTTAGCGGTCATCAGTGCACTCACGAATGCAGGACAAGGCGGAAACACGACAGCCATTTCTGAACCGCGCAGAAGCCAGGATGCCACCTCAGGACGGTAGTAGTAATAGTAGTCACCACATGGTCACGACTGTCGCGACATTCGTCGTTTGGCAACAGTCAACGTTGTTCGTTTCGCTCACAATTACAGCAGCAACCTCTCAGAACACCTGGAGGCATTCTAACACTCCGAAGGGTATGCTAACAACTTCAAGCTGTAAAATCGGAAGAGGAATAGCTTCACCAGCCTCTGTGCTCTGAAACTTGTAAGGTGTTAGTTACTGTCACTCTCCCGTGGCCGTTGTCGGGAACGGTGCTGATGCCTCCTGAAAGCTTCGAGCATGGGCATGGTCTTTCCGCAGGCTTGTTGCTCCAAGTTATTGCGTGCCCCAGAAGGGATCTGAGAGCTAGCTGGCGGCTGATTTGGGCTGGTTTGGCTGGCCTGGGCAGCTTCCCCGGCACGCCGGCTCCACTCCTCCCGTTACGGTGCAAGCTTGCGCGTGAGCAAATCACGGACTCACTTGGCAGTTGATTTGATCCACCCGAACTTTTCTGCCGGCAAGCTTAAGTTTTCTGGTGCCGCTTGATTTCGCTATGCTTGGCAAGTCCGAAAACCTTCTGCTGAAGCCGTTCAGCCATCCGACCCTGTGCCGAAGAAGTGGAACCACATGACATCGCAACAATATGATCGTAGTTCACTTGTGCAAAGCTGCACCACGTTCTGCCAAGTCAAGCGCCCATTGCACTGTTCTTGCCGCTCTGGCCTCATGTGGCACGACTGACTGGGGCTTCTGGTTGCAGTTTTTTCATGGCCCGTCACAACTCTGCCTCTGCCGTCGCTAACCAGCATAGGTGTCGCACGTGCGAGACCGTCGATGCATCAGCTGCTCGCCTCGACGAAAGCGCGAGGTAGCCAGAGGCATCCACGACACCGCGAGAAAACACGTCACTACCGGTCTTGTGCCTTTCGGGTAGGGCAACTGTAAAGGCTCCTGGCTGCCAGCATCGAGACCGTCTTCCATACAAGAAATCCACCAGCCTAACAAGGTGCTGGAGGAGGCTAGGAGCCTTCCAAACGGCTTCAGACAAAGCGAACGCCCGTCTGCCAGGCGACAGTTGGAGCAGGCCTTTCCACTCCATCTGTTCCATGGGACATTCGGCAAGGGATTCAGTTCGCTAGCAATTGAAGTGATGCCCACAGTCTACTGCTGTGCTGCAGCTCCAATCATGTGACTGCCGACACCTTCATCTATATGGCCATGCAGCTACTCTGCATTGGACTGGTCCACAGCCAACGCGCTTCAACTTGCCAATCCACAGCAGTCACGAACTGCGGGGCCGGGGCCCGCACTTGAGACCTTTCTCTGACCAGGACGACGGAAATCCACGTAGGACGAGGCTACCTCGCACCTCTCTGCAGGGGGTCTCTCGCAACCGGGCCTGCACATGCTTCTCGCCTCTGACACGTGGGCTTCATGCACGCGGGCCTTGTCCGAACAAACATATTCATGACTCCCGCCCTTCTGGATTGCAGCTAAATTTCTCTGGGCACTCGGCGAGGGCGTCAGCCAGGAGCTTCCAGCATTCTTCTGCCTAGCCGCCAGCTCGCAAATGCCGTGAAGACTCCAGACCCAGGAAAGATGGCAACCACGATCCTCCCTCGGAATGTGTCCTGTATCTGTCTGAAACGTGAGATGTCTGAAGCAACCCCTGCCAGCAAGGACTTGCAAATCGGACACACCAGCATACTGTGGAGCTGTCTGAGCATTGCTGGTGCAGTGGAACATCTGTACAGGAGCTGTGGCCTGTCGAATACGGGGGTTGCTGCTTATTTTCATGGCTGGTAGTACTGCTGGTCGGCGTATCTGGGCTCCGCGGAGCTTGAGAGTTTCAGATGTAACTATCCAATTAAGAGGAACCGAAAGCATTGCGTTGTCCCGCTGAATTCCGCGACCCCGTCAGCAACTCGACACAAGCACTCAAGCAATATCAAAATGGTCAGTGCCAACCTGCCTTCATAACACAGATTTCTACACGAATGCAGCGGGTTCAGTGTGGTTTGTATGTGCGCACACATTCTGAGCTTCATGTCGTGGCGGACGCGGAAATGTCGGAAATGCTCTGCAAGGAAACGCCACACCCAGGATACACTGGCAAAGAGATTAAACCATTAAATTCTTTCTTTGTCAGTCGAGTTTCAATAGCCTTAGATCTAGAATCCGGAGAGCACCAACCTGTGTAATTGGTTTTCAAGCATGGCAGTTCCTGTGAGTGGCCGGGTTGAGCCTGCACTCACAGCCTCCAACATGACATGATTCGTCGCGCAATGCACTCCCGGAGTGCAAGGCGTCTGTCTTTGCGTAGTTCTTTGTTTGTACTGCTGGAAACGCGTGGTCCAGTGGACTGTATCTTGTACACATGTTCGATCAGAACCGGAGCGCACATGCAGCAGTCTGTTCAAGCAAAGCATGCAATCCTGGAAGCACAAGACAGGCCGCATCAATCAGATTGTCACAAGGACCTAGCATCACAGCAACCTGCTCGTAGTGACGAGATGCCTGCAAAGACTCTGCACATCGCACCGCGAAGAGAACGTGCTGGCTTCCCAGCCTGCACTGCTTTTGTCGATTCACGAGATTGCGATGGCCGATCCGTACTTACACTGCATGGAGGTGACGTTAACAGTACTGGCACAAGACGCTGCACATCTTTATCCTGCTTCTCGGCCTATGGAACGAGATCGATTTGTCCTAGGACAATCAGATTGCACTCTCGATATTCTCTGACCCGTTACCAGGCACTTTCGAGCCTGGGAGCAAGAGGCTCCCTCGATGTCACAAGACCGGATTTCAACAAGACTGTGTACAACAAAGCAATGAAACCCGCCATCCGTCCTACCGGTTCCAGGCTTTCGGGCCAGTCAAGGAATGCTAAACTCGATCGAGGATGTGAGAATGTCACCTACGCTTCCAGACCTTGCTTGGCGCCATAAAAAACTGCTCGTTCTAGTTCGCCCAGCCTGATGAACAAAGCTAGTGTCGGAGTCGCCTTTGTCTCTGTTTCGTTGCTAGCACCCTTCCTAGCGGCCTGCGAGTGATCTCCGCGAGAGTGAGGGAACGAGTTGGGGGGAGAGAGAGAGAGAGAGAGAACACAAAAGCGGAACAGGGACAGCGAAGGATCGCCATTCTGATCTGTGGATTGCTGACGGGACTTCGCATAAGGCAGGCGCGTGCCAAGGACGGGATCGAGAAGCTCCACATATAAGGAGCTTGCGCCAGCGGCCTCTCAAACTCACTGAGACTGATCCGAGGGGCTTCGGCACTCCCGAGATTCGCACGTGGCCTGGCATATCTCCTGCAGTCTGCCTCCCCCTGCCCCTTGCAGGTGCTGTAGCATGTTCAAGCCGTAGGCCCCACGTGTGCCTCGCATGGCTTTGCCGATCATCCCAGTTGAACCAGTTCTCTGCATGCCATGGCCTCTCAGAGCCCTCTCGGACTCAGACCACGAAGCCTGACATGAAACTCAAGCGGCCTGCTACATCCCAGTGTTTCTTTCCCGTGGCCTTCGACACTCCATCTGCACCAGAAACCCCGGCAATTGCCTGAAGAAACAAAAGCCAGAAACTGCCCAGCCACTGCCCAGCTCGGAGCCTCCAGCGCTTTCAGAGCCTCCGAATGACTTTTGAAGCGCACGTAAGCCTCTCGAGTTGCAGTCAAACCGAAGAGAGAGGACGACTCACGACCGAGCTGAGCTCAAAGGAGCCTTGCCAGTGGGCCTCTGCTGCATGTCGCGGAGCAACAGAACCTGTGATTGCCCGACGTCTCGTACGGGATGACGACATTTTCATCATGCAAAACGTCGCAGGCAGGAGGGTTGGACCTTCGTGACATGGGAATGTCAGGATGTTTCAGCCCGAGACTGTGATTGACTGCCAGGTTGTTGAGCATGGGTTCACCAGTCCGTCCGAAACGATTGATTTCACCGCGGGTGGAGGACTCGAGCTTGCTCTAGGTCTTCCCCATGAACATTGCAGCTGCAAGAATCGGTGGAGACTTGGTCGCGACTTCTGGAGAATATTGTCCCAAAATTCTGACGTAGACGTAGTCTCGGCTCCACCTGCCAAGTTTGGCATAACTTAGACTTAAGCTTAGCTTTTGGGGAGACGCGAATGCTTGTTCGACCCAGAGCTTTTGTGGTTTCATCTAGGTGTGTAGGGCGATGCCACATGCCGGACATGTTTTGGTGCTGCTGGCCGCGGAGCCACAAACAGCAGCAATGCCACCTCGACTGAGGCTGGAGGTCGTGATGACTCCAGGTGGGCTCAGCTTTGAGCTTGGGCTGAGGACTTCCAGCGATGCCTGGACGGCCTGCGCAGCTTGGCCTGACTCTTCGGCCATTCCGGAGCGATCGTGGTCGTGGGACAGCGGCTTGTGCATGGCGCTGGACACTTCAGTGAGCTTCGTGGGATGGGTTCTCTTTGGGAAGTGGTGGCAGGGTGTTCAGAATGGTGCCAAAGGATTTTTCGTACCCTCGCGCTGCTTCTGCTATGTACGGGGGCTCACTATCTGTGGGCGCTGTGCTGGCCAGTGTTGTTCCTGATCTCAGTGCTTGTGCTGGGAATCATATGGTTAGTGAGCGTGACTGCGCGGAAGCCGGGGACATTGATCTATTGGGCCCAACGTGCTGCTGGTGGAGTTCCTGAGGCCTCCGACATCCTCCGACGCTGAGTTCTTGGGGGCACCGGTCGAATTCCGGGATGGCAGACCTCCGTTCCGAGAAGTGGATCCTTGTGAAACGGGAGGGCCATGTTGCGGTCTTCAGAGCCGGAAACGAGTCGCAAGCGATCCCGCCGCAAGGTCTCTACGTCCCGGTGGAGGCCGACTTGATGCGAGGCGACAAGGAGATCGCGGATGCGTGCAAGGGCTACGACAAGGTGCACTTGTGCCGGCACCTGATTGTCACGAGGAGGGGCAGCACTTCAAGAAGTACGGGCTGGCCAGGGACTTCGACGGCGAGCGGTTTCATGATCGAATTGCTGAGCTAGGCGCAGAGAAGGTGGGTCGCACCCTGTGGAGATGGCTGAGGGCTGCGGCGGCGAAGCCTGCGAAGGTCTTGAAGGAGTTCGGTTCGGAGTCTGAGACAGAGCCCCAAGGGAACTCTGGAGTCCATCGTGTTGGTTGGCACTACGTCTTGTGAGCTGCTCTTCGAGGAAGAGTATGATGAGCGGGGCTCAATCGACCTGTGCCCGAAGCATGCCCTTGACTACGAGGGCCGCAGGGCACAGAAGTGCTACCAGAGTCAGTGCAACCAGGTGGGCTTCGCTGAAGAGGGCAGCGACGGTGTTCGGCGGTGCCGCCATCACTCATTGCCGGGACCCAGGAGGCTTCCACCTCGAGACAGGGGCGAACCACCAGATGCACATGATCTTAAGAGGCTGCGAAAGGCGAGGTAGTTTTTGCTTCGCTCCCACCGGATGTGCACGGCAAGGTTTTGTGGACAGTCGTCGAGACCGTAATCAACGGCCAGGGCCCCTTGGCTATCTTGAAGGGCCCACGGCAAGCACCACGCAGTGAAGTTGTTGAAAGAAGCGCGATAGTCGCCCGAGGTCAGCGAGTACCTCACTACAGAGTTCGGGGAGTTCGCTGTGAGACGAAGAAAGTGCTTGATTGTGGCGAACTCCCTTCCAGTAATGCTTTCTTCACGGCTACCTCAAGGAGTGTCTTGGGTCCTTTGAGCGCTGCTTTGAGGCCCAGGAGGACGGTGCCGAGCGAGGCCTGGGTGTATTTTGAGAAGATCGTCCCCGGCGCAGGCATCCCATGTGAACCCAAGGAAGGAGCGTCGAACTCTGGACGAGCCTGGTGCAGCAAGGCTACGATGAGGGGCGTATCCTCATCGAATCAAGGCCGCTGGCGGCCAAACCGAATCAGCTTTGGTGCTTTTGGCGGGCTACCTCACGAACCCGGGCGTGCGTGCTGGGGGATGCGTATATTCTTTTGACGACCTCAACGTCACCAAGCTCCTTGAATGGCTGCGGCGGGGGAAAGATGGACTTTTTCCCAGGGCTCGCAGTGAATGCCTGGCAGGTGGTGTCGAGGAGATCAACGAGGACGGGCTCTGGAAGGACAAGGAAGACTTTAGGTCCGCCGGCGATCGACAACGACATGGTGGGGTACACCATCGACGGCGTGTGTGGCACTGGGGAGACGGGCTTGCCGAATCCAGCAGTGATGATGATCTTGAGCGAGAACTCTCTCGCAAAGCTGGCGCCCCCGTAAGGGCGTGCACCGCCAAAGGGCTTGTTGTGCGGAGGATGCTGCTTACGTGCAGATCGACGCCCAGCCGGTCCGACCTTTCAGCGGCGACATCGGGGCCCACGTCGACGAATGGATCGAGGAGAACATCTGTGGTTACCACGCGGAGAGCACCTCCAAGCAGTACAATATCAGAAGTGGAAGGCTTGGGCGGCACGCCAAGGATGGGCAACCGAGTTTTTGGACCACGCGGTGACCATCGAGGCCAACGAAGACAAGCTGCTGGGATTCTTGGGATACCTTGGATGGCTTGGAGCGTCGTTTGCCAGTCACGCCGAACATGTTGACATGGGTGGCGCAGCGGATGGGCCCCCACCTCGCGGCTACGGCGGAGAAAGCTTTCGACGCCACCATGGTGCTCACAGCGCTCAACACGGCTTGGTTCTTCATGTTGAGGGCGAAGGAGTACTGCAAATCGAATGGCATGGACTACGGGATGGTGCTGAGAGGCGCGAATCTGAGCTCAGCGAGGACGGATCTGGAGGATTACGCGACCCTCCAGTTTCGCAAAACCAAGACCGACCAGGAGGCCTTCGGACGTGCAAGACCGTGTATAGGTCTGGTGTTGCAGGACTATGTGTGGCCTCCGCGCTTCGGGCATTTCGTAGCAGTTGCTCCTCAGCGCTTCGGCGCTGGCCCAGAGGCTCTGAAGCCGCTTTTCCGATGGGCGAATAGTCAAATGCTTCGCAGGACCCAGGTCCAGCACTTGCTGCAGCGAGCAGCAGCCGGGGTGGGGTTGCCACCGGAACGCTTCATGTCCCACTCGCTCCGCACCTGGGGCTTCAGCTTTGTTCCGGGCTAGAGATTGAGCTCGTGAACAGGAGCAGATGGAGTTCAGCTGCTGTTCAACGATACCTCCACGACGGTGAGCAGGGCCTCAAGGAGGCTGCAGCGAAGATGGCGACGGTGGAACAGAAGGTCCACTACACCTAGCTCCACAAGTTTTGAAGTCGTTTGCCGTCAAGTGGAACGAAGCCATACGCAAAGCAGTGCAGCTTGGCCGATTGGTGCATCGAGCCGCAAAAAGTGTCAGTCGTGATGCATCGTGTGTGCACTGAAGTGGTTGTTTCGCTTGACCGTAAGTTTGCCGTTCGAGTTGCCTTTTCTGTGGTTACTTGTGTGAGGGATGGCAGGGCAATCAATGCCAGATCTTCAATTACTTCAAACGAAGACTGAACTGCGTCAGCGGGGCAATGGCTTGAACCCGGGATCGTCTCGGCGCTATGTGTTGATGTGTCGGCATACGAGAGGCCTTACAAGATGGAGAACGGGGTGCTCAGCAAGCCATTGACAGCATGCGACAGTACCACGAAAACAGCACGTGGGGCAGCAAGGTCGTCATTGGATGGAGCAACTTCGCAACACCAACCTTGTATCAAAGCTCCAGAGTTCGACCTCGTGGACTCCCCCCACATCCCCCCCCCTCCCACCCCGCTGGACCTCCCCACACCAAGAAACGCTGCACCAAGAGATGTTCGGTATCTAGGTCGCACCAAATTCAGGTCCAGATCTCCGAGGCACCCGGGATTTCCGTTTTGAGGATATAAGCCGTGGCAGCTCGGAAACGCTTACTGGTTGCCGTGCGCATCCTTCCGACAGGTATGACTTCATGTCCGCAGCAATCGTCTTCAATGCGCACAAATTTCAGGTGGCACATGGAACGATGCTATGAGCATCGTCTTGATTGCTGGTTGGAGGAACTTCTGTGTGGACAATGGGTCGCATTTCTGCTGTTTTGGGGGTTTCTTTGTGTGAATGGTGCGGGAAAGTCAGGCAGATCCAGGACAGCCGTTCACGTCGCATCGGCATTCATTGGTGTGTCCACAAATGTCCACAACCCATGCTCATCTTCTGTGCACTCGTTTGCGATCAAGGAGTATCGCCTCAAGCTACCAGTATACATGGTGCCAGCGGCTTTTTTTGCGTACTCCGCCAGCTCAACCCTGCGAATGAACCAAGACTGTTATCATGTCGATCAATAGTCTGCCGGAGCATTTGCCACATGCCTGTGCAGCACCGGACTGAGAAATCGTCCCGGGTATGTGTCTGTGTGCAAAACCACTTCCGAAGGTTATCTGGCGGTCCTGCTCGCTTGCGGTTTTTGGATAGTTTACCGTGATGATCAGTTCCTCACCATGTAGTCGTCTACATCTGCTCTCGGTACAAATACCATGCTCTGTTTGGGCACTGGTTTGCAATGTCTCGGAAGACAGGCTCAGTGGGCAGGACAGAAGATGACAACAAGGAGTCAGGGCGTGTCTGCGCACAATCCTGCACTCTAGACCCTTAACTCTTAACCCCTGACAGTAAGCCCTAAAAAGCACGAAAGCCCAAACCCCAAAAGAGCCCTGCATAGCAAACCCCAAACCCTAAAAGCCCCAAGCC